TGGCCCGGAGGTCCTGGGCGTTTCTGGAGACGTGGCCGCGCCGCCGGGACTGCTGCTCCGCGCCCCGGCCTGCTCTGTCACCCCGGCCCCAGCAGCATCCGACTCTTTTTCTCGTTAACAGTGACCCAATGGCAAGCTCCCCAACACCCAGGGGACGACTCCCCCGAAGGTGCTAGAAAGAGGCAGAGAAGTCCGTTCTCCCTCGGAAGGACGCCCTGCCCTGGGAACAGCCAGTAGGGCCGGAGGGGGGCAGCGCCTCGTCGTCGCCGCGGCCCTGCCCGCCTGAGCTGCCCTCTCAAGGTGGAGGGCCATTTCGTCCCCACCCCATTTCCAAACGAGGCCTCGCGTGGTGACCACGAAAGGTCGACTCCCAAGACCGTGAGATGGGGGTTCAACATCGCCTGGACGTATGGGCTGCCAGCTGTGGGAGCCTCCTTCCCCACTCCCATCCCTGAAGGTCCATTGGTCAATGATGCTTTCTGCGCCCCAAACGCATACCAATTGCTTGGATACTTTTACATTTTAAGCATTTCAGTCTCCTAAGATAACAACAGAGGACCCCAAAGAGGGTGTTCTTGTAGAATCTGGCGAATTGGAAGCAACAGCGTTGGTGAGCTGGTGCCGGGGAGGAAAGCCGCCATGGAAGGGAAGTTCATTTTTGCAATGCCAACATGCTTTTTCTTCTTTTTTGGAGCCAGCAGGGATGGAATTACCATTTCATGTTCATGCCTTGCGCTGCAAAGCAAATGAGAGGTCAAAAGCAGTAGTCGGTTGGAGGGGTCAGATTTGGGGAGTGCCAGTGTTGAGTGTCCTGGGCTCAGATCCCCTGCACAGGCCGAGGCAAACTCATGCTCTCCCCGGTCTGGACTAGGGGGTTTGAATTTTCTCAACGAAGCGGCTCTTTCGTGGCCCGACCGAGGGTCTCCTCCCCGGGCGTCCGCAGGAGGAGGCGGGAGCCCAGGCGACACGCGAGCAGGCCACGTGGCTGTGCCCCGCTGAGGCTCTCAGCTTTGGTCCTGGAAAACCCAGGAATCTGCAGCGCCTGGGGCCGTGAAGGGCTCAGCCTGCTGGGGGAAGTGAGGGCAAGAGGCAGCCCTCTCTTGGGGGGCGAACGAGGCTCTGCTTTCTTGGGAGTGGCCACTTACAGGGGTTTGTCTATCACCATTTTTACAAATATTCAGAAACAATGACCACAGCGTGCTCTGGCCTGCCTCCTGAGTCACTGCTTTACTTTAAAATCAGTGCCTGTCTGAAAATCAAATTCGACTTGACCTCCACTTAATAGTACTCAGGCATGTCTCCTTAAAACAAAAGGCACTCTGATAAGTGACCCTATGCTTGCATCTTCTGCCTGTAGGACTTTATCTCTTGGAAGCAGAGATTCTGCCCTTCCTCTCTACCAAGTGTTCTTCCGTGCAAATCTGAATTGAGTATTCTCTGCAATTCTTATTTGAAAGTCGCTGCTGAAATCTTGAATAATTTCTACCGTTTACTATCTTGGTTTTTTTTTTTTATTTAAGAGATCAATCTGAAATCTTAATTTTGTTTTATTTTTTTTCCCCTTTAGTTGAATTCTCAAAAATAAAGAGATCAAATATTTGGATGCTTTCCTTTGTGGCTGTGGGTAAGCAAGACAGGCAAGTGTGGGCAAAGTGTAAAGAAAACCATACCTGACCAAGGGGAATTGGGGTGGAGGTCCGGGAGCTGAAGATGGGGGCAGAGAAACCGGGCCCAAGACAGCGCAGCAGGCAGGGATCATTAGCCAGCCGGACTTGCAGAGTCATCAATCTCTAAGACTAGTTCTTAAACAAGTGAGCCCAGCCCTTCTCCAGGCACTAAACTTCTAGAGGACGAAGAGCAGGGGGCCATTACAGGGACCCTGAGGGCTGAAGCAAAGCTCTGGATGACAGAATTCTTAGAAGAGGATTTAAAATGAATGACCTAACTAGAACCATCCCTGCACGAAATCTTCCTGACCCAGTCACAATGAATGACTTCAGTTCTGAGAAGAAATTTCTCTTGAACTCTTCCAAAGAGTGGAGTATGAAGATGAGACTGGTTTCTGATTGTTCAAAGGTTACTTTTTGAGCAGAAGGGTGTAGCTGTGGGATGAATTACCTCTCAGAATGTCTGGGGCTGGATACTCCCTAGTTTGCAAACTAGGGTTTCCTGATGGGATTATCCATCTCACTTTGCTCATTCATCTATAACTATATCCTACCTAACGTTATATCTAACAATTTTCTTAGCTACTCTTAGAGTCAAAGTGGGGTCCCTTCCTATGCGCTGAGGAGGCAAATGTTGCATACATTGTAAATGCAATAATAACAATGATAACTTCAAAAATACTCAGTTTAACATATGAAAGCTAAATTTTAAAAGCCTAATGTCAAAACGCTTAAAAAACAGTCTTTGAAATTTCCCTTTGAGCCTGAACTCAGCCTGACTTGAAGAATGTAAGTGAAGCGCTACCTTCTTTGGCAATACAGTATTAATTGCAATTTAATCTTTTTTTGCCTAGTTCTACAACCGAAAACAAAAAAAAAAGTTTTCCTTTTGCACTGGATAATCAAAATGAGCTTTGTTTTCAAACTGCAAACTTGGCATGTTTGCAGTCCTGCCTGAGGAATGTGTGCAGTGTTAACATTTTTAAGAAAACTGTTAGAAGTAACAGAGTTAGGAATCTCATACTGAGCATATGCAATAAGTATGTATGTAGCTATATCTTTAAAGTTTGAATATGCACTGGCATTCTCTTAACAACAGACACTTATAAATAATTTTAGAGAAGGAAAAGAAACACACATACACACTATGGATGTCTTAGCAAGCTGGTAAGTTTTGCTATTTTGGGTCTTGCACAAAAGATGAGTAATTGGATCTGTGTCTCCTCTTTCTCACCAGTCTTTGGATGACCTACCACCTGCTTGTTGGCTTAGAGTTCTGTGCAATAATTTCTCCGAATTGCATGAATGAAGCACAGGATCATTCACACAGAAGGGTGCGCAAATTGGAAAAGGCTGCAGTGAGTGGATCTCAAATGAGGCTGCATGCCCATAAATTCAGTCTGGTTTAAGTGAGAGGATTTATCAAAGGGCAATATAAAGTTTGGGTCAGCACAAGTGATTTTGATAACTTTTGTGCAAGAGCAGATTCGTTCTCTGTGACACAGGTAACCTTAATGATGTTTGAACACCTTGCCCTAACTAAGAAGTCATTCTCTTTCTCTTTTACTGATAGGCTAATTCATGAATTTAACTGATTCTACCTTTCTCTTCCTGAATTTCTTAAAGAAAAAAACCCCGACGTTAGAAGGAACTAAAATTTGAAGCTTGCAATCCAGAAATAAATTGGGGGGGGGGGGAAGCACAAGAAATTGAGTTGCCAACACCTCAAATGAGCAAATCAGAATTTCAAATAAATATTAATTTTTCAAATATCTGGCATTGCATCACTCAAAATGAGGATAAGATAAGGAGACATAACTTGCCAGACTTGTAGGGAGAGAAGAATTAGAGTGTGGAAAAGTGTGGAGTTTTGAAAAACCTTCTCCCAAACTCTTCATTCCCTTAGTCTGTGCCCATCTTTGCTGCCAGTTAAGGATGAAATGCAGTCTCACTTTACTTATTTCAAAGAATTGTGGCAATAATTGAAGAAATAATGAAAGAAAGTCAGTTATTCATAGAGGTTTTTGTCATGGCCACAATCTTTCTACATCATATGCATTTTTACCTCCTTTTTAAAGCATCGGATACTCCAGCAATTTAAATATAAATCAAATGATTTACATTCTGTGTTTTTCCAGTTAAATTTCCCTTCCTCATTACAATTTTCATCTCTCTTTACTTCAAGGAGTTTCCTTTTTTCTCTAATGGCTTTTACTGAAGTCTTAAATCCTGTATTCATAATTTGGGTTGATTCTTTCTTCAGAAAACATGTTGTTTTTGCTAGTGACCACAAGAGGA